TGTTGTCGGCACAGCGCCGGAAGCTTGCCCGTTACCCTCTGAGATTGCTCGAGGGGGTCCGCATCGCCTGTGCGTTCTGGCCGGGGGGCGCTGGAACGACGACTCCCAGCATCTTGGTCAGCGCCTGGTCGCCCTGCGGGCACGCCGAGCCCCTGCCACGCTGCGAGGGGCGGCGTCGCAAGGTTGGGCACGACGCTGGTGGGGCGTTTTGGCTGTGGCAGCCCAGCGCGCCGCATGCAGTGCGGTGCTCAGCATTTGGACCATGGCGCCATTGCCCAATGCTGACAGCGAGCTTCCGCTGGCGGAGGTTCTGCATCTCGCAGCTGGCTCGGCGCCCAGCAGGCTGCCGTTGCGTTAGATAGAGCCTCGGAGCGCCTGCAGCTTTGGCAGCCCGGCTCATTCCTCTCGCCGCCCGCCTCGTAGTGTAGTTCAGACCAGACCAAGCGTTACGTGCAAGCATAAAAGTCCGGGGAAAAAAAAACGCGATGCCGTGCTGAAAATTTGGCAGCATTGCTCACATTTCATATCATAGAGCACGCCCCCACATCTCCCAACCCAAGCTTCGCTTCCTTGCAATGCTCTTTGCTGCTGGACTTGTTCAATCGCCAGCTGAGTAGCCGCACGTGCTCCACACAATGCAGTACCCTGAAATTTGACGTGTCAAAGTTGCAATGCTCCTAGACTTGCGAAATGTGACAACAGCGACTCTCAAAACCTCAGACAGATAAAACAAGATCTTGAGTCTTGAGTGTTAAGGATTCTCGTGCTGTGAATGCCAGAGCTTGCGACTCAGCTGGCTTTGCGGTAAGCTGCGCAAAATCTGTACACAGTTGGAAGCTCCCACGAAAAACGACTCATGGTCAACCGGGAATTCATGACACAAATAGCTGGTGTTGGTTTGTATATCCTCTTTCCATATCCTCTTTCTGCACTCACGTATTCCTCAATAAATAGCCCATCGACAACATGTCAAGAACAATGCTGCAGTTCTAATTAATGCAAAATTTGTCAAAGAGCCGCTTGCATGAATCAGGAGAAATACCCACACCTGACACAAACGCTCGCACGAGGTGTTGATGCCATGGTTTCCTTGCAGCAGGACCCCAGTCTGCCAAATGGTAAAGTGCGCAGGGGCATAGTGGGCGAGAGAATTTTTTTTGTCAGGGTGGTCAGCAATTCACAACTTTGATGCTACAAACGACCGAAAAGGGGCAACACAAGCGCGGACTTGTGCACGCAACGCGAAAAAGTAAGAATCAAAGGTGACACCTATGATCAAAAAACCGTGCCCCATCCGCGCTTCGCGGTGCTGCGAGGCCGCTTTGGGCACAACAGCCGTGAGTCTCAGCCGACACTGTTCGAGTGGCAAATCTTTCGCCAGCTTGCGCGAACCAAACGCAAAATGGCCCGGTGTCAGGCCCCAGTCTCCCGAAACCTTCCAAGGTGGCCAAATGAAACGCCTTCCTCTGATGTAAACATTGCAAAGATTTGCAATGGCAACAACTGCTAAAAACCAACGTGCCTTCTCTTTGACTCGCTCCACTTGGCCGATCTGCAGCCCCAGTGCTTGATAGTGTGTGGAACGCCCGAATTGAAGGCGCAAAACGTTACGGCGTGCGGGGGAATTACAGAATATTGCTTTCCAGGACGCAGCCATACAGACCTGGTACCATGCGCAGGTGCTTAATCCTCGCATAATCCGTATTTAAGCCCTTTGTAATCCTCAGGTAATCCTCCAGAGGCGGCCAGGTGATGCCACGGGGACATGGCACCCAGTACCGAGTTACTGGTGCGAGGGAGGGGTAGAATATACACCATTGAAAAAATGAGGCGCACACATTCATACCTTTATACGTGTATAGATATAGACACACTGTTTCTGCCCAAAAATCCATTTGTAATTTTCTGACGTCCCTCACCGCATTTCGAAAAAGCAATCGGCAATGGTACCCCTCTCATTTTGTAGTTGTCATGTTTCAAAAGCCTTATGAATTGACGACGGCCCCCCGCATTTTGTAAAGTAATTTTGAATTTGTATTCGCAAAAAGGTACCCCTTCATTCTATGTTATAATGGGGGGGTGAGGTCGCGGTCAGAACTTGTGGTGACAGCTTCCGCCTTTGCGCTCAATGGAGTGGGCAGCTGGCCTGTTAACAGCCAGGGTTGCACCTCGAATCAGCCTCCGGCCGGGCGCTGGTGCAGCAACCTGCCCTGCAGCTCCCCGTTGTATGCGGGCTGAGCATCGAGCCTTGGGCTTTACCCCATTGCCCGGAGCCATGAGGACATGGTACCAAGCACTGGTGCGAGGGAGGTGCAAAATAAAAATCACTACAAGAAGAGGCATGGTAGCACACATGTATACACTGTGTTTATACTGTTCATGACCGTGCTCCCTGTATTCATTCTTCTTTCAGCCCGTCATACGAGTAGCTTGGATATATCTTTGTATTTCTTCGTGTAAACGGCATGACAAAAAAAAACCTTACTTTTTCATCATATTCTATATATATATATGTATGTA